GGGCGGGCGGGGACCCCAGCTCCCGGTCGGCTCTCCGTCCCTCCCGTCTGGGCCAGGCCCCGTCTAACTGGGGTCATGAGCACGCCGGCCCCCTGCGCGCGGCCACACACTTGCAAGGACACCCCGTGCAGCCCCGGGGGCTCAGAGGCCACAACATGAGTCTCCCAGCACCACCTGGGCCTTGGGGAGACAGAGCAGCGGAGGGTCCCAACGTCCCCGCCGCCCCGTCTTCTGAGAGCCCCCGCCGCCCTGTACTCAGCCCCGCCCCAGCCTCCCCATGCACAGCACCCCGTCCCCAGACCTTCTGGACGTCCAGGTCCTCCCCGGTCTTGGGGGACGCCCATGTCCTGGTGCCGCACACCAGGGCCACGCTGAGGGCGAGCAGGAGGCACTTTCATGGCTGCGGCTGCGGGACTTCCAGCTCCGAGCGCTGAGGCCGAGCGGCGGGCGCGGGGCCTTATATGGGAGCGGGGCCGGCCCGCGGGCCCCCTGCCACGGGTTCCCCGAATCCCCAAGGTCCTTCCTCCCCGGGGACAAATAGGAGGCCTTCTTCCCGCTGAGCTGAAGCTGGAAGGTCCGCTGTGTCCCCCAGTTCCCGGTAGGGCCCCGAGGGAAGGGATGGGGGGGGCTGGGCTGGCCGCCAGCAGGAGGGACACGGGGGCTGGGTTCTGGACAGCGGCCTGAGCTGTTTCTCTCTGGACTCCCTGGGTCCCGCCCGTCACAGGAGCCAGGACAGCACCCCGTCTGGAAAACCTGGGGTCACCGCGGGGGGTCCGAAGGTCTTGACTGCTTCTCCCCAAAATCACCTCTTTTTAAATGTGTTTATTGGTTTTTAGAGAGAGAGGAAGGGGGAGAGAGAGATAGGAACATCGATCGGCTGCCCCTGCACATGGCCCACTGGGGATCGAGCTCGCCACCCCCACACATGCCCTGACCGGGAATCGGCCGCACGGCACCTCCTGAACTCGCTTTCTCTCCGATCCGTCCCCCCGGCTCTAGGCCAGCGGTTCTCAACCTTCTGGCCCTTTAAATACAGCTCCTCATGTGGTGACCCAACCATAAAATTATTTTCGTTGCTACTTCATAACTGTCATGTTGCTCCTGTGATGAATCGTCATGTAAATATCTGATATGCAGGATGGTCTTAGGTGACCCCTGTGAAAGGGTCGTTCGACCGCCAAAGGGGTCGTGGCCCACAGGTTGAGAACCGCTGGTCTAGGCTCACAGCTATTGGTCTGACGGGCAAAATGAGTGACACAGCCTGTCACCCGCCCCCGCCCCCCCCCCCCAGCGATCCAGCCCCCAGTTCAGACTCACGTTATTCTCTGTGAACGGAAGAGACTCGGTCTTCGCCCGGAGGCCCATCGAATCCACCTGGGGACGTCCCAGGACGCGCTCCCCTGGCCCAGAGCCCGAGGCAGGGCCCGCGACCACACGACCACGCGCTGTGGGACCCTCAGCCGAGCACGAGGCCAGAGGGGCCCTCGGGAGCCCGGTGAGTGCCGCCCGCCGAGGCGATGGTGGCGCGAGGCTGTCGGCCGTGCCAGCCCTCAGGGCGCCGTCCCCCTGATCACAGGAGACAGAAGGGCTGCCTTAAACCGCCCCCCACCAACGCCACCCGGAGAGGCCGGGTTCGTGGAGAGCGGAGTCCGCAGGGCTTCGTGCAACCGTCTTCTCTTCCTCCAGATTCTCGGGGTCCCGTCCTTTTTTAAATAAAAATAAAAAACCTCCAGTCGTTCCGCTGTGACCCCGTGAGCACTCACGGAGGAGCAGTACGTGCAAGTTCCTAAGGAAATGCTCAGAGCGAGGGGCAGGCACGCCTTCCCTGGTTTTCAAAGGGAAACGGAAATGTCTCCTTATTTCTAACGAGAGGCCCGGGGTGCGAATTCGTGCACAGGTGGGGTCCCTTGGCCTGGGCGGCTATCAGGGCTGATCGGGCCGTCACCCAGTCCCAGCTGGACCGATCGGGGCAGCTGGCGGGGGGAGGAGGGATGGGGCCACAGGAGGTTGGCCAGCAGGGCGGAGGGACCGAGGGCAGTTGACTTGAGAGCACACTGACCACCAGGGGGCGGCTCCTGCGTTGAGCGTCTGTCCTCTGGTGGTCAGTGCACGTCATAGCTACTGGCCGACGTCCAGTCGTAAAGGTTGCTCAGGCTTTTATATACATAGATGTGTTTGTCCTCACGGGGCCCTATGGACGCAGGTCTGACAGGCCCTCCGTCGTGGTCTCAAAAATTTATAGGAATTTTAGGGAAAGAGACACCTTCTCCGCAGCCGGCTGTCCTGCCAGGAGACGCGCTGTCCCACCGCGAGCCCGGAAGGGGGACGGGTCAGCGGCCTTTCGGTGACCGCGGGCCTGTTTCTCCGCTTCGCTCCCAGGGATGCTGTTGGGTGAGGTGTTTCATGTTGACAATGATCTCTTCTAGTTTTATTGCAAAGAAGGGATTTTTTAAAAATATATTTGTATTGATTTCAGAGAGGAAGGGAGGAGAGAGGGGCATAGAAATTCTCATCAATGATGAGAGAGAATCATCGATCAGCTGCCTCCTGCACACCCCTACTGGGGATCAAACCCACAACCCGGGCATGTGCCCTGACGGGGAATCGAACCCAGGACCATTCAGCACGCAGGCCGGCGCTCTATCCACTGAGCCACACCAGCTAGGGCTTAACTTTTAATTGTACAGTGATCGGCTCTCATTTGTCAACAGATGCACATTTAGGAGCACATGGAGGATGTTCTGATCACATCACCCCCCAATGTACGCACTCCCAATGCACACACACCCAGTGCACACACACCCAGTGCACACACCCCAGTGCACACACCCAGTGCACACACACCCAGTGCACACACACCCAGTGCACACACCCAGTGCACACACCCCGTGCACACACACTTGCAGTGCACACACACCCAGTGCACACACACCCAGTGCACACACACACCCAGTGCACACACACCCAGTGCACACACACCCAGTGCACACACCCCGTGCACACACACCCAGTGCACATAGGCCCCTGTGTACTCAGCCATCCAGTGCACACAGCCCCTCCCCCAGGGCCTATAAAGAAAGGACCTACTGCCTGGAGGGCCTCGATGGGCACAGATTATGCAGAGAGCACATGAGAAACCATGGCAACAAGGTGAGTTATCCCTGGATTTATCACGTACTTGATGGCACCCGGGGATCTGGGGGGCGGGAGATTACAGGCAATTTGCATTTCTTACGTGTAAAATTACATGCAAGTGCATTTCCATTTATTCAGTCCAAGTAACCTGCTTAGATTCTGATTATGCAAAAGCCAGGAAATGCTGACAATTCCGGGGTGGGAGTTAAAAACCCTGTCTTGTTCCGCCCCCTCCCAGAGGGCTGCCTGTCTATGATTTCATCGTTGATGGGATCACACAAGGGCTCGGACGACCAGGAAAGCAAGGCAGCGGGAGGGTTTTAGGGCCCTTCAGAGTGGCCATCCCCGCGCCGAGATGGAGGGGCCTCCGCTGGCTGCGAACGGGTTTGCAGGGTTTTCCTGAGCATCTTCGGGCCGTGAGTGAGGCCGTCCGCCATGCTTCTCGGGCTGCTGTGCTGCCAGGGCCGGGCCAGTCCGCGGCGGGGGGTGTGCTGGCTCGGCATCCTTGCCCTCGTCCACCTCCCTCACAGGGGCCGGCCACTGTCTGCCCAGCTCCTGGGCCTCTGACTCATCTCCCGGGGACCCCCCCCACTCCCCGTCGGTGGGAGATTATTGCACAAGGTCCAGGAAGACCTGAGCAGAGGCGAGCAGGGGGCACGAGAACCCTGTGAGGACCAGCAGGTCCTGGGCCCTCGAGCAGAGCCGGGCAGCGCCCAGGTCCCCGATGGCGTCACGAATCCTGCCCAGCGCAGACTCCAGCCACTAAGCCCGCCCGGCAGGTTGATGCCATAGCGGGAGGCCAAGCACACGCCTGGCTGGACGCTGAGAGCCTGGGGTGGCTGGGCGGGGCTTGGGGCAGCCGTGAGGGGCCTGGGGCAGCCGGGCAGGGACAATGGACGGGGAGGGAGGGCGGGTGTGAGGCAGGAGTGGGAGCTGAGGCTCTGCACAGGCCATCGGGCAGCACGGTGCCTCTCGGGCGTGCAGCACCCCCTGGCCTCACTCCCAGGTCCGCAGGCGCCGACTGGGGAGCCCACGTAGCCCCCCTGAGCTTGCTGATTAGCCCGAGGCCCCGCCTGGCCGTGCCCCTGCAGCCGCCGGGGTGGTGGTGGGCACAGGAGCCTCTGCTTGATCACAACTCAGCTCCGCCCACTTTCTCTGCTCTTGGTTTGCTGGGGAAGGCGGCGATGTCACGGGTCACAGTCGCCCACAGCCCAGGCCTGTGCCCTTGACCGGAATCAAACCGTGACCTCCTGGTTCACAGGTCAACACTCAGCCATGGAGCCACACCGGCCGGGCTCCCGCACTCTTCACGGCTCGGCTCAAGTGGCACTTCCTCCGGGAAGCTCTCCCTGACTGCTCGGCCGCCCTGACCGGGTCACACCCCGCTGTAGCTGGGTGCGTGGTGCCCCGCACCCGTGTGCCCCTCCCAACAAGGAGCCGTCTGTGAGGCGTGCGTTTGTCTGTCTTGCTCACGGCTCCCCCCAGGAGCGAGCGCGGCGCCCGGCACGGGACACGTGCTCACAAGGTTGGTGCCTAAGCGAGTGGCTTCCTGAGAAGGTGTCGGTGTCACGGGCGCGGAGTGTGGCGGCGGACGCGCTGCACAGAGAGCACACGGCGAGCGAGCGGGCAGTGGGCCAGCCGTGGTCTATTGCACAGCAGACGGGGGACGGCAGCATCTTCCTGCCACGCCACCCGGGGACGGGCCAGAGGGGCGGTGACCGTCGAGGACGCCTTCGGGCCCTGGGCGTCGCGCCCCCGGGGGCCTGGGCTCACCAGCCACCTCTCAGCAAGCGGCGGGATGGGAAGACCTGCCTCAGGGACAAGGCTCCCCTGGTCCGGCCGCAGGAGAGAGCAGGACCGCGGGCTCAGGGCAGGATGGTGTGCGCGCAGGAGGCTGTGGGAGGGGGCAGCGACCAGGGGATGGAGCCACGGCTGCCGTGCACAGGCGGGCGGTTCTCCCTGGCGTCACGGGTGCTGGTCCCGGGCACCTCGAGGGCACAGCCCGGGGGCCCTGGCCCCCCAGCCACAGTGCAGAGAGCCGATGGGACCAGCACGCGTGGCTTCCGTCTCTCTAATGAGCCGGGCGGGGGCGGGGGCGGAGGTGCGTGGCCCGAAAGCCTTGCAGCCACATTTACCGTCTTTGGGGAGAACTGTCGCGCCGGCTGTGAGCTCCCGGATCTCACAAATGTCCACGAACCTCCTCATGCTCGGGAAGGTGGTCTCCTTCTGTCTGCCTGGGCGGGAAGCAGCGTCATGGCCTCGGAGCGTCCACTCTGGCGCCCGGGGCTGCCCGCCCTCCCCCACCCTGCCCGGCCCAGCCACCGCCATGGGAGCTGATACGAAGAGGAGAGGCCAGGCCCACCCGCCCTGCGAGGACCCCCAGGAAGAGGGCCCCCGGCACCCACCCTGGGGCTCCCTGCACCCCTGTAGGCCTCCCGCCGTGGTGTCTGCCCGGCGTCCCTGCGCCGCCCCTCCCCGCCCGCCCCCCACGCTCACTGAGGAGCAGCAGGGCCTGGGAGCGCCGGCCCGCCCGGCCCAGGCGCAGGTCCACCACGGCGTCGCTGTAGCCGGTGGTCAGCACGCGGAAGGCCTCCACCCCCTTCACTGGAAGGAGGAGCACAGCCACCTGACTCCTCCACCCACACGGGGGGGGGCGGGGGGTTGGAAGGCTTGGGGGTCCCCCATCCCCGCCCCGGGCCCGGCCCCCAGGACTGCGCCAGCCGCGCTCTGGGAAGGACAGGCTCTGGGCCGCCGTGGGCCTGTCTCGGGCGTCCACCCGCCCGTCCGCATCCCAGGGGGCAAAGGGGCCACGGGCAGTGCAGGCGGCGTCCTGCCCAGCGTCTGGGCTCGAGCCCGTGGACCCTCCCCCCCCCCCCCCGCCTTCCTCCCCGGCCCTCACGCACAGGGGTTCCTGAACACGGCCTTCTTCCCGTCCTTCCTCAGGACGACCGTGTGTGACCGGCACCCCTGAGGCCTGCGGGGGGAGGGGAGGGGGGCTGTGACTCACGGGCAGGGAGCCCCGCTTCCCACCCGCAGCCACCAGCCCCCCAGAAGACCCTCTCGGCCCCTCCTCCGACCTCTGCCCTGAGGGACCCCGGGGGAGGGGGGTGGGGGCCCCTGGAAGCCTCACTCCTGCTCCTGTGCCTTCGGGCTTCTCATTTCAGAACTTTCTGGTCAGTCGGGGCCCGTCTGCCACCCAGGGGACCCCCAGACACCGGCTGCCGCCCAGGGGACCCCCAGACACCGTCTGCCGCCCAGGGGACCCCCAGACACCGGCTGCCGCCCAGGGGACCCCCAGACACCGGCTGCCGCCCAGGGGACCCCCAGACACCGGCTGCCGCTCAGGGGACCCCCAGAAACAGGCTGTCTGCCCCGGGCCCAGGCCCCAGTGCCTCTCCCTAACCAGCCCTTGGCCTTTCGGGGCAGGAGGTGGGGGGGTGGCTGCCGGTCAGTCCTGGTGGGGTCCCCAGGCTGCCCAGGACCCTGCCCCACCCCCAGGTCCTGGAGAGGGAGCCGCCAGGGCTGTCGGGGGCCGGGGCCGGGAGGGATGGGGGCACTCACCGGGGGAAGGCGAGGACCACCCGCAGCTGGCCCACTCCGCGCACCCGCACCACGGCCGCGCCCAGCTTCCGCGTGTCTCTGCCCGGCAGGAAGCCCCGGGCGTCGGAGGCGACGGCGAGGATGTACCAGAACCCTGAGAACTGCAGAGAGGGCGCTGGGGAGCGTGGACACCGCCCCCACTCCCCAGGCCCGTGGACTCACCGGACACGTGACCCTGGCCTGCGGCCCAGCCCACGTGCAGGGCTGTGGGGCCAGGGATGGCACAGGGCTGGGCACCGAGGGCTGAGCCTCCTCCCGGGGGAGCCTCCCAGGGGGGCCCTTTCCTCCCCACTCACCCGGCACCCCGTCCCGCCGACTTCCAGCTGCAAACCCGCGTTCCCAGCCTCTGCCCACGCCACCCCCACCGGACCCGCCACCGGCCGGCAGTCCATTATTCCAGAACATGCCCTGCTCACTCCACCCCCTCTGCCCACCCAGCACGTCCAGGTAACTTAGGCACGCCGGCCGATGCTCCGGTCTGCCTCATTGGGGGGTGAGGAGTTCTGCCCGTCCGGACGTCCTCAAAAGAGCTGTTCAACACCTCAGAGAAACCGGATGGGTTTATGGCCTGAAGGTGAGCCCGTTGGGCT